CTGCTTCCTCTCCCTGCTCCGAGGGCACTGGCTGTCTTCCTGTTCTTCAGGTCCACCAGGTTCACACTTCATGGTCTTCCTCCACGCTGCCCAGAACCTTCTTTATTAATCCTTACCCCTCTTTCAAGACCCAGCTTGAGGTCACTTCCTTGAAAGCACCTTCCCTCACCCTCCCCAGCCCCCCCCACTAGATTATCCTGGCCCCTGAACTCACCCTCAAAGCAATTATCACCACATGCACTCATTTCCCTGGTTAGTGTCTGTCTCCCCTGACCATACTGTAAGTACCAGGATGACAGAGACTGTCTTTGTTTTACTTCCCACTCCATCCCCAGTATCTGGAAATAACAGATGATCGGGAAATGTGTGTTGACTGAATGAATTAAATGATGTTTCACTCGGGCCTCTAATGTGGGGGAGTGCCTGGGGGGTTCTCCAGGCCCAGGGAACAGAACGGGCAAAGGCCTGCAGGTGGGAAGACAGGTCCTGGCAGGTTCCTCGTGGTTGGGTTCAGGGGTCAAGGGCAGGAGAGCTGAAGTGGGGATGGGGGCGTGGAGGAGACTGGGCCTCACCTGAAGCTTGAGGGGTGGGGGGTGGCCCCAGCTTTGCAGGCATCTCCCGAAGCACCACGATCGTGACAGCCTATGTGATGACTGTGACCGGGCTAGGCTGGCGGGAAGTGCTTGAAGCCATCAAGTCCACCCGGCCCATCGCCAACCCCAACCCAGGCTTTAGGCAGCAGCTGGAAGAGTTTGGCTGGGGCAGCTCCCGGAAGGTAGGGGCTGGGGCAGGGGCCGGGGCAGGCACTGGGGCAGGGCGAGAGGCTTTTCTTTCCCCTCTTGGGCTGAGCACATATTGGAAAGAATTTAGCCTGTACTTCAGACCTGGTGGAATATTTCTCTGACGTCTCTAACTCATGGCCCTTGAGTTAATACAGCCCCTAGGTGTATTTTGTTTGGATAGCCAGATGTTTTCTTTACCTTTTTAATTTAGAATTTAAATGCCTTTGGGCCACACTATGGACCCTTCAGTTTGATTGGGCCCCAGAACTGCCTGCTCTGCCTGCCTGGAACCTGAAGGCATTTGAGCATCTGGCCCCTTGGGGGAGAAATGTCCATCTCCTACTCCATCCCTGCGTCCTTGATGAGGCCAAAGCAGTTTTTCCTCTTACGCCCACTGGGCAGGTGGCATATGGAGATGTCAGGACACAACAGGGGATGAGAGACAGAGAGACAAAGGGAGAAGCAGCAAGTGCAGACAGGCTCTTACCAGGTGGCAGGCTGATGCCCAGAGGCTTGTCTGCAAGGCTTTAGGAAAGAGGCAGGTGAGAAGGAAGCCCGTGTGAGCGGAGCTGCTGTGCAGGGGGAAGCGGTTCACGTGGTCTCCACTGTGGAGGCTGGGGGTTCGCTTCAGCAGGTTTGGAAGACAGAGCGTCAAAGGAAAATGGGTTCAGGGAAAGGGAAAGGGAAGGGACCCACGGCGGGGGGATGGGGGTGCTCCGTGAGGGGGATGGAAACTTAGAAGGGAGGCTAAGAGGATGTTGGGGAAGGGGAGGGGCTTAGAGAGGTGTGGAAAGCTCGCTGAAGGGCGGAAGTTCTGAGGACTGGGGAGGGGACCGGGCCGGCGGCTTGGCACCGATCCACGAACCCCTACACCCCCACCCCAGCTTCGCCGGCAGCTGGAGGAGCGCTTCGGAGAGAGCCCGTTTCGCGACGAGGAGGAGGTGCGCGCGCTGCTGCCACTGTGCAAGCGCTGCCGGCAGGGCTCTGCCGTCTCCGCCGCCTCCCCGGTGCCGCAGTCCTCAGCCTCGGAGGGAACGCTGCAGCGCCTGGTGCCGCGGACGCCCCGGGAAACCCACCGGCCGCTGCCGCTGCTGGCGCGCGTCAAGCAGACTTTCTCTTGCCTCCCGCGGTGTCTGTCCCGCAGAGGCGGCAAGTGAGGATCCCGCCCCTTTTCCTCCCGACTGGTCCCCTGCGAGGGGCCGACTGGGCCTCCCACGGCCTCCAGGAGGGCCCAGAGCCCGTGGGAGCCCCGCAGTGGCCTGATGCCTGCCCCTGTCCCCTATGCCGCCCTGCTTGTCTGCAGCAGTGTGTCCTCTGTCTGTGCGTCTCTGTTCTGTGTCCCGGCCAGGCTGCTGCAGCCATCTGGTGCCTTAGTCCTTGGGCTAGGAGCGGGGGCACCCGGGCCTCCCCTCTTAAAGTCGGTGGGAGTGGGTGGGTGGGGATTGGACGGGCCTGGAGGATATTAAAGAGACACAGAAGCTGCCTGTCTGACTGCCTCCCAAGTCTTATAGCAAAGGTGGGACAACAGGACTCTGCCAGGGGCCAGAAGCCTGCAGGAAACTGGGGTAGGAGGAGGCCTGCATCCCCTGGGGCCTGAGGAGCCGGCTGTCCTCCGGTAAACTGCAGCCCGCGGGCCTGAATTCCGAGTACCTCTCCGACACTCCCTGCCTCCCTCCCCGTTTTCCCCCAGGCCCTGGTCTTCTGAGTAGGCCCTCCTTCTCTCTGAATCCTATCTCCTCCCAGAGGCCCTCCTCCTCTCCAACGCCCCCCCCTGCCCTACTCAAAAATACTAACTGGTAAATGCCTCCCTCATGCTTGACCTTTTACACACCCGAGTTCACTTAATCCGGAGGCAGGCAGCTTGCCCACGGACACGCAACTGGGGTAGGGCAGGCCGGGTATGAACCTAGGCTGTTTGCGTGGCATGATGGTTGTTAAGAAGCAGCCCCTTCTGATCTTGGAGGTTACTGGAGAGGGGGATCCATCCCCAGCTAGTGGGAATGACCCTTCCCACCTAGAGTTTAAAGGCCAGGCAGCCCAGTAAAGCAGCAAACTGACTTCCAGGATGAACAGAGGTCATTGGAGCTGACTTTTCCTAGACTAAAATTAACCCAGAGTTGTGAGGGGTCTGAAATAGACATAATAATATAGCCACCTTCTTGGGGCTCTTATTAGGCTGCAAGCACTGTATTCAGGGCTGTGGGGGAGACCCAGATTCCAGCTCTGGGGTTAGAGGGACTGAGCAAATTACCTTTTCCTGCTGTCCAACCTCCCACTCCACATTCATTCAACAAACGTCCATCGAGTATCTACTGTGCACCAGGTATTGTGCTGGGCACTGGGAATACAGCAGGGAGCAAGACCTCTGCCCTGGTGCTGCTGATGTCCTCATGAGAAAGACACCAGACAGTCAGATAAACAAAAGTAAAAATAAAGCAGGGAGTGAGGGAGTGAACTGGTGTGCTATCTGGGGAGAAGCATTCTGGGTGGAGGCAACAGTAAGTGAAAGGTCCTGAGGGAGGACCCCATGTGAGAGCAAGATGGCTAGACTCATCAGAGTGCAGGGGATCTGTAGCAGTCCCGGCTAGCTTGTGGGGTCACCACCCACTGGGCTTACAATGCTGTTCTATTTCTGCCCGTGTCTTCCCCTACCTAAAAGCCTCCATGACCCCCGACATCAAGAGCACAAAACAAAGCACCTTGGTCTGATGCTGCAGGTCCTTTTTGATGCTCCACCTGCTTCCATCATTACTTTTACCACACTCCAACACAACAACAACCACAACAACAACAACAATAATATGCATTTACTGAGCGCTTGCTATGGGCCAGGTAATGTGCTAAGCATTTTACCTGCATCTCAGTGAATCCTCAAGCAACCCTGAGAAGTAGGTAACAGGTGTGGCAACTAAGGTTGGTGCCCAAAGTCACCGGCTAGCAAGTGGGGGGGGGGGCATGACTGGAATCCAGGCGATCTGGTCGTGGACCCCACCCTCCTAATTACTACAATTCCACCCCTTAGGGAAACGGAGGGTTTGTCTGACACACTGAAGACCTCTGCTTTGATGCAATTATTTTGTATTATTTAAATACTCTTGTATTTAATCATATGAAATGCTGTATGTCCCATGGGCACCCAATGAGCCTGGCTACGACTAGAAGTGTCAGAACTGGGTGACTGCTTGGGACATGGGGACAGAGGGCAGGGAGCATAATGCCCCCCTAATGCCCCCCTACACACACACAAGTACACATTAGGGACAGTGCTCCAGCCTCAGGTCAAAGCTGCTTGCTGTTGCAGAGGTGGTTTCTCTCTCAGAGCCTCAGCTGCTTCGTGTACACAGCAGGGGGTGGTGCAGTCTGAGCTACTTGACCTCTTTTAGATCACAAACCCCATGTAACCATGTAATGAAAGATACAAACTCTAGAAAAATGCATAGACATGAAAATTTGCACACACTTTCAGGGAAATCACAGGCCCATCAGCAATCCATGAGTTCCAGGTGTAGCTGTTGGGAGGCACTGCAGGGCACAGTTTAGGGTCTGGGCCCCTTGCGGCAGAGAGACCGGGGTTTGGATCCTGGCGCCCCCACCTATTAGCCCTGTGGCCGTGTTACAGGGCTTAACCTCTCTGAGCTTCAGTCTTCTTAACAATGAAGTAGGCAACTGTATTCATCTCACATGCTGTTGTGAGAACCAGTCCAGCCGCTGCAGGAAAGGCTCCAGCCAGGCCCAGCACTGTGGCGAGCCCCAATAAATGGGACTCCCGAGGTTTGAGGTAGTATTTCTCCCAGTATGATGGCCCATGGACCACCCGGATCAGAACTGCATGGGGAACTTGTTAAAATCTGCTTCTACAAGTCTGGAATGGAGGGTTTGCAATTCTGAGGGGATTTAGTTTGAGCAGAACTACACCTTCCAGCCTCTACAGTTCAGGTTCTGAGAAGGGACCACAAGTTTCTGGATGGCTGGGAAGAGTAGCAAACAGGTGCAGGGATGGGGCAGGGGACGCCTCCGCGGGCCTGGGGCCCGCAGGGTCCCGGCTGCGGCACACTTTACCCTTCAGTGGGTCTTGGCGGCCCACGGCAGCTCCAGCTGATCCCTGCAAGCTGCCCGACGCCCTCAGGGCCAGGCTGTACGGGGAGGGGCAAAAGGAAGGGGCCTCCCAGGAGAAGGGACAAAACGGAAAGTGAAACCTGCTCGGCCAGACTTTCGCTTTCGCCGCCTCCACGCGCCACTCAGGTGGCCCCGCGATCACCGGTTGCGCAGGGGTCCAATTGACCGCACGCCCCAGACCTGGCTCCTGGAGCACCGCGTCCCCAATGGCCGGCGACCCCTGGCGGAGGGAGGAAGGGAAGGTCCCCGGCGACAGCAGACCCACGGCGGGGGCCAGGGGTCCCCTGCGCCTCCGAGACTGGCTGGTGGCGCAGATCGAGAGCGGGCGCTACGCGGGGTTGCGCTGGGAGGACGAGGGCAAGACTCTCTTCCGCATCCCCTGGAAGCACGCAGCCAAGCAGGGTTACCAGGCGCAGCAGGACGCGGCGCTCTTCAGGGTAAGGGGGCGGGGACAGGGGGACCCCGGCCCGGGAGGGCTCTGGATGAGCACGGCCCCAGCGCCCAGAGCGGTAGACGCACTGGGTGACCTTGGGCCACTCGCTTAGCCCTTAGCCTCAGCCTTGTCTAGTGTTCTCGGTAGATGGAGACCCTCGGACACCCTCTTAAATCAGAATGACCGCAATAGCATGACCTGTACCGTCCCCACCTCTCGGGGGGCCTCTCCTCCGTCTCCGAAGGGGGAAATTAGATGCCACTGTGAGAACTCCCTGAACTTCCCACCCCCGAACCCTCGACCCAGCAGCTCGGGGGACATTTTCTGTGCTTCCCAATACCAGCCCTTCTCTGGGACTTGCCCCTGCAGGTCTGCACTCCCTTTCTTCAGTCATCATTAACCTCCTCCAGACTGGCTCCTTCCCATCGCATTTCAACTCCAGAACCTCTCCTGTGAGCAGTAAGGAACCAGCAACCAACCAACCATCTATCAGGCCACCTCCAGGCCACCCCAAACACCTCAGTGTCTCCAGCTCCGGGTCCTCAGGTCTCCCCTCTCCTGGACTGAGTCTCCTGGTCATCAACCCCTGCCCCTCCTCCTCCCTGAAACACACTCACTGGATTTCCAGAGTCTCTGCCTCCCACCCCACTCCCCGCCCTGCCCTCCCTTTTCCTCCTACCTTCGTGGCCTCTGCTTCTCAGCCTCCCACTCCTCTCCTGTTTGGGGGCTCTCAGCATCCACTGCTGGACCTCCCTCTTCATGTCCTGCTCTCCCCTTCCACAGGCTTAGCATGGGAGCCCCAAGCTGCTGGTCTCTCGGTCCCTAGGCCTCTCCAACTCAGCATGTCCTCATCAGCTCGCCCCTACAAGCATCTGTTTCCCAAAATGGAATATTGCACCATTGCCATCCAGACCCCAGAGCCAGGCGCCCGAACCCTGGCTGCTCCCCTCTCTTCCAGTCTCATCCGACTCTATTGCCAAGGCCTGCTGGCCCTTCCCACAGAACTCCCCTTCAATCCATCTTCTTGGACCCATTTTATAATCTTTCACCAGGACACCCACTGTGACTTCACTGAACTCCCTGCTTCCACCTGTCGCCCAGCTCTCCCTTCAGTCTTCCAAAGGGATCTTTCCAAATGTAAATCTTGCCTCACTAGTTCCCTACTCAGAATCCTTCCATGGCTCCTCAGCCATCTAGTGATAAAGTCCCAGCTACTTATCATGGCAGCCCCGCAGGAACTGCTCCTCCCTGGCCTCGTCTCTCCCCTCTCCCACCCCCTCCCCTCCCCGCTTGAGACCCACGCCTGGCAGTTCTTTCAGTTTCTAAATGTTTCATGGCTCTCTCACCATTGGACCTTTGCACATGTTCTTCCCTCTGCCTGGAACACCCCCTGCTGTCCACACTCACCTGGCCAGCTGCCCTCGTGCTCAGCATAAATGTTTCTTCCTCAAGAGAGCCTTCTCTGATACGTGCATTTAATGCATTTATGTGTGTTAATCCATCTATTAAGTTCCAACTCAGTGCTTCTTCCCATCCATCCCTTATTCCTTCTGCTTTCCCCACTGAAGCAATTTTCCCTATGAATTGTAAGTGCCTTGTACAACTTTGTTTTCGCCAGCTGCTTGAGGTGTTGACACCGAGTCTGGTGTCTGGCACACAGTAGGTGCTCAGTCGGTATTGAATAAGTGTTTGCATGGCCTGTCCCTTAAAACTTATGTGCTGTTCAGAAAACAGACTCTGTGGGCGGGCCCTCTGTTCTGGCTAATTTGGCTGTTCCTCAACCCACCGCTGATGCACACATGTGACTCCTGGCTTGTGATTCCTGGTGCCCAAATCCCAGGGGACAAAGCTTGGCTTTTGGGGACATTCGTGATCCAGATTCAGTCGTCATTAGCTTCCTCTAAACTGGCTCCTTCCCATCACTTTTACGCTGCAGAATCCCTCCTGGAGTACCTGTGTGTCTCCTCCCTCAATTCCCCTCCCCCTCCCTCCACCACATACAGTCAGTTAACCCTCCTTGTCTGTGGATTCCTTACTTGCAAATTCACTCACTTGCTGAAATCTGTAATCCCCAAATCAGTACCCAGAGCACTTTGGGGGCCATCCACAGACACGCGTGGGAGAGTGAGAAGTCTGAGTCACGGGCCGCGCACGTTCCCAGCTGAGGTTGAACAGGTGACGCTCTGCCTTCCTGTTTCCGCTCTCATCCCACACACAGATGTCCTTTTCTCGGCCTCTTGAGTGCCACATTTTAAACGCCTTTGGGCTTTTTGTTGGTGATTTTACAATGTAAAACGGCCCCAAGCCTGTGTAGTGCCGAAGTGCTGTCCAGGGCTCTTCCGCACAAGAAGCCCGTGATGTGCCTGACGGAGAAAATACAGGGTGGGCAAAAGTAGGTTTGTAATTGTTTGGATGGACAATGATGCAACGGGCAGTGAATACAAGAATAAACTCTGTGTTTCGTGTACTTACAACTGTGGGCCTACTTTTGCCCACCCCCCCACCTCCCTGCCCTGAACATGTGTCGGATAAGCTGCGTTCAGGCATCAGTGACAGTTTTCTCAGCCAGGAACCAACAGTTTATATCAAAGACGGCATCCTGCAGAAATGCACATAAAATAAATTTATGTATTGATCAGTTGATGGAAATGTTGTAAACAGAGATTCGTAGAAATCTAGCTGTGTGTTTTCCCTAGTGGTTCGATACTCACTAATTGGGGGTTTGTGTGGACTTTATAGAACATAACTACCGCAGGTAATGAGACTCTACTGTACACATGACCTTAGACACACACGCACCGCCAGGCCTTTGCTCAAGCTGTTTCCGCTGCCAGGAAATGTCGCTCCACCTGGCAACTTCCCGGTTTATTCCAGATACTCAGTGAGCATCTCCTGTGTGCCAGGCACCACTCTAAGTGCTTGGGGACACAGCAGTGAACCAAACCGAGATCCCTCTCTCGTTACGGGAATCGCACCCTCTACCCTGTGGCCGGGTTACCACTGGGTGAGAGCACCCTTATTGTACTAAGTGCTAAGCACTTTACATAGACCACTCATCTCACACCTGCCACAGCCACGTGAGGTTAGGAATCACTGGCACTGTTCAGAGACAACAGAATCGAGCCTTAAAGGTCTCAGCACTGGCAAGTGGCCCCAACATAGGAATGTGCCTCTTTGCTCTGGTGTCCACGCTTCCCACTAGATCTGGAATTTCTGAGGGCAATGACTGAGCACGTGATTCATTTGTGAAACCCCCACTCCCAGCCCTGAACTCGATCAATGCAAGCAATATATCTCCTTTGACTCCTGGCCTTCCTTGAATATATCCATCTCTTCCCACCTCAGGACCTTTGCACTTGCTTTTCCTTCTACCCTGAACACCCTCCCCCAGCTCTTTGTCAGCATTATTCTTTGCATTCGGGCTTCAGCTCAAATGCCACTTCTTCCAAGAGGCCATTTCTGATCACCTTCTCTAAAGTAGCCCCTCGTCTGTGTTTATTTAGACCTGTTGCCGCAAGCCATTCTATCATGTTCAATGACTATTCTGAGTGTGTATGCTTTATGGCAAGTGAGCATTGCTGTTTTGTGTGTATTCTTACCTAATGCACATTATATTGTATTGTAGACCTCATTCCGTGGCTCATCACTCATGGTCAAACTTTGGATATCTATTCTTGTCCTCTGTACATTTAATTTGTTGCTCCTGGATGCTTCTAGATGCTGCATAGACTCCATAGCGGATGTCCATTACACACACACACCCACCCACTTTTCTGGGGAGGGACATGAGTTTGTCTTCCGGCACTTCGAGTCTCGCCCTGGTTCCCTCATAAGCCTCTGTGAGAATTCCTTTTGAACTGGAATTTGTTTACACTTAGTTCAACTAGGCATGCCAGATGACCATCCAGAAGCCCTGCACCCATCCCCCACGTACCAACCATGCCCACATCCCAGCCACCTGCTGGCATTATCCAGCTGCTAGAGTGTGCCAGCTCACAAGTGCTATCTCTATGTTTATTTGCATTTCTCTGGCACTAATGAATTTTTTATTTTTTAAAAAAGATTTTATTTACTTATTTTTAGAGAGAGGGAAAGGGAGGGAGAAAGAAAAGGAGAGAAACATTGATGGATGAGAGATACATCCACTGGTTGCCTCTCACATGCCCCAACTGGGGACCTGGCCTGCAACCCAGGCATGTGCCCTGAGTGGGAATCGAATCAGCGACCTTTCAGTTCGGACATGGGCGCTCAATCCACTGAGCCACACCAGCCAGGGTCTAATGAATTTAAGGACTTATATGCTCGTGGGCTTATGGTTCCCTTTTCTGTAAACCACTCATTCTTGGCCTCTGGTGAGAATGTTTTATTCACGGGATGCTCTCTGTTCCTTGTTGACTTGCAGAAGTCTGTTCCAGATCTTAGCCCCTTGCTGACTTCAGACATTGTAAACTCATTTTTTTTGTCTTATAGTCCATGCCTTTGAAGTTTTGTTTCCAAGCATTCTCTGCCCCTAGAAGATTTTCTCCCACATTATCTTCTATTAATTTCACAGTTTCACCTCTTATTTTTAGTTTTTTAATCACCTGGAGTCCATTTTTTGTATGTGGCAATAGGTAGGAATTTAGTTTTATGGTTCTCCAGACAAAAAAACACCACCATTATTTTATATCCCATCATCCTATTTGTTTTTTATTTCTCACAATCCATAGTTTGAAACATAGCTATTACCACTGAGCGGTTTGCAGCTGCCTTCTCCCATCCGCCGTGATTCCGTGGGAGCAAGGACAGCGTCTGCCTTGTTCCCCAGCCAGTGCCTAACTGGAACCTGGCACATCGTAGGAGCACAGGGAATGTTGGGTTGGCCAAAAAGTACATTAATTTTTTCCTGTAAAATAAAAGACACATTTTTCATCTTCACCAATAATTTCATTGAGTTGGATATTTTGAATATGTCGGCTATCTCCCACTATTGGCTTCTAGTGGGCAGAGGCCAGGGGTGCTGCTAAACGTCTCCCAATGCGTAAGACAGCCCCACGGCAAAGAACTATTTGGCCAAAATGCCAATAAGTACCAATAAACTTTGCAAACCACTTTTGACACATTCGATCAGTCACAGCAACCTTCTCCATACACTGCCCAAATCTTCTTTTGCGTTTCAGTTGCATTTTTACCTTTCTTCAAATAATAACACATAATACCCTGAAAGTGTTGTGGATTTCCTTCTATTTTCAATATTTAAATGACTGCACAAAAATTCACCAATTTTGATAATTTTTTTAAATGCACACTGATATGACAGCTGTTGCAATATAATCTAACAAAATTGTTTCAAATGAAATTAAAGACAACTAAGTGCTACCAGAGCCATCTTATGGAAAAAAACTATATGAACTCTTTGGCCAACCTGATACAAATATGTGTACAATGTGAAGGGAGGAGAGAGGAAGGGATGGAGACACGGAGGGCCAGAGGGACAGAGGGAGATAGGGAAGGGTGGGAGGCACGGCAGGCCCTCATCCTTCGGTGTAACACCAGTCCCCCACCCCAGGCTATTCCTCCCCAAGTACCCTTGCTCATCCCTAGGCCTGGGCCATATACAAGGGCAAGCACCTGGAGGGCACTGACAAGGAGGACCCCTCCACTTGGAAGACTCGGCTTCGCTGCGCTCTCAACAAGAGTGCCGACTTCTGTGAGGTGCGTGAGCGCAGCCAGCTGGACATCTCCAACCCCTACAAGGTCTACCGGCTCGCATCCGACGGTGCCCATGGCCCAGGTATCATCCTGCCCCCGGAGGTGGTGGCCAACGACGGCTCTCTGGGCGATAAGCACCTCACTTTGCACATCTGTAAAATGGGAAATGGTTGACTTATTAAGCCTAAACTCATGGGCAGGTAAACATAGAAGAACCCTTAGACCATCCAGTTAATCTTCGCATTTGAAAAGGAGAAAACCAAGGCCCAGAGAGAGGTGGGTCTTGTGTGAGATCCTGCAGCGAGCTGGGGTACTCTTGTCTGGGATCAGCGCAGTTGAGGGGCTTCCCCCGGGGGCCCAGGAAACAACAGGCTATCTCTTACTCCATCCAGTTGCCAGGGCTTGTTCTTCCTCTGCAGAGAAGGGCACTTCCCAGAGCCAGCGGGAGCCCCCTCGAGAAGTGACGGAGCCAGCCTGCAGGACAGACCGGGTCAGTGCACCTCGCCAGGCCTTTGTGGCCTTGCCAGCTGAGTCACCTCTTCCCCAAACCACACTCTCTGTGGTCTCCAGCACACGTTCTCATCCCCTCCACCCCTACCCCTCCTACTCATCCCTGCCATCAGTTTCAGTTGCATCATTCCATTCACTTTGCCTCCCTCCCTGTTCCCATCACCTCCATCGTTGTCAGCTCCATTACTCTGCATCAACCCTCTTTTCTCCAAATTCACCCCCTGCCCCCATCATCATCGGGTCCATCACTCTGTCCCCCGTCACCCCATGAGACCCAGTTCTACCTCTGTGTTCCCTTCACCTTCATCACCTTTAGCTCTCTTACTGTGGCCATCGACGCCATCGTCTCCCTCTCCACCTCCATCGCTGTCTGTATCACCTGTGCTATTTCCACAGCATCGCCTCTCCCCCATCATCTGTGCTTCATTACTCTGTCCCCATCCCCCCATTAGTCTGGTCCCTTCCACTGTTCCTAGTAGCCCCACCAACATCCACTCTATCACTCCCTCCTCTCTCTATCACTTCTGTTCCCCATCTCCCCATTCACTCCTAACATCCTTTTCGCTATCACGGCGAGCTTCATCTCTGACCTCATCACTTCCAACAACCCTATCAACTCTCTTTTTACCTCTGTCGGGAGAGGGGTCTTGAACTCTGAAACTTCAAAGTCCCTGTCAACCCCAACTGGCTATTAGCCTGCCCAGACTTCCCTCTACCCTAGGGCCCATAGTCTTGGAACTCCTCTCCCACCCTCACAACCCTCTCTCCTGATGCTCAGGTTGGCTCCGGATCCGCCACAGAGGATGAAGACAAGGAGAAGCCCCTCAGGCTGGCCCAGCAGGGCTCATCGCCACCAGCCGCCCTGCTCCCAGGCCCTTTGGCTGATCACAGTAAGTATTGGGTCTCCTCACCCACTCCTGCCCCCTCCCCTCCCTGGCCTCCTCCAAGACCTTGATCTAGGGGTCAAGGGTGAGATGGTACCTGACTGCCTCCTCCCCCAGGATACCAGGCACAGCACCCTGTACACACCTGGAGTCCTGTGCCCTCTGAGGCCTTCAGCAACCCAGGTAAGGAACCTGAAGGCTCCCCACTCGGATCACTATACAGAACAGGGAAGGCCCGGGGTTGGAGCCGGCTAGCCTGTCTCCCACGCAAAGCACCCAGCCTGGACTCCCAATAACAGCAGCCAACTCTTGTTGCGGGCTTAGTTTGTTCCAGGCATTCTTCTAAGCTCTCCCCACAGTCCTGAGAGATTGACCCTGCCATCACCCCATTTTACAGGTGCAGAGACCTGACACGGAGGTTTAGAACCTTGCCCAAAATCACACAGCTAGTAACCTGGGAAATTACTAAGAGGTCACAGCTCTGAAGTGTCAGTGAGAGATTAGAATCCCAGGGCCTGGCTGCAAAACCCACAGCTTTCATCACTGAGCATGCTGCTGGCTCCTCCCCTGGGAGGCTGCTGTTCTGCTGCTATTGTTCTTTCCACCAGCATTAAAATATTTGCTGGGAGGAGCCTTCTAAAGTACCAGAAGTTGGGGCTGCGAGGGCCTCAGTGTGGTGCCCTCATTGTACAGATGGCCCAGACCCTAAGATTTGAAACTCAACTATCAGTTCATTTCTACTGGAAGCTGCAATGATTTACCACCACCAAAATTATAATCACTTATCGGGAGGAACCGCCAAAATCTCCTGAGGTGGGGGCCGGGAGGATCTCAGGGTCCCCTGCCCTGTTATGGGGGATAGGTGGGAGCTGGCGCCACCAACGCCCGGCGTGCGCCTCTTCTCCGGCCTCCTCAGATTGCTGGCTGCACGTGCGACTATTCTACGGCGCGGAGCTGGTGCGCGAAGCCACCGCGCGCGCGGCGGAGGGCTGCCGACTGAGCCCGCGGGCAGCGGTCCCCTCCGCTGCGGAGCGCCTGCTGGGGCCGCCGCCGCGCATCGCGCAGGTTCGTTTCCCGGAGCCGCCGCCCGGAGCCCGCGTGCTGCGGCGCCTGCTGCCGCACTTGGAGCGCGGCGTGCTGCTGTGGGTGGCGCCCGAGGGCGTGTTCGCCAAGCGCCTGTGCCAGGGCCGCGTGTACTGGCGCGGCCCGCTTGCCCCGCACCGCGAGCAGCCCAACAAACTGGAGCGCGAGCGCACCTGCCAGCTGCTCGACACGCGCCGCTTCCTCGCAGGTAAGATTAAGAAGATGGGGCTGCTGGTGGCTCAGGGCAGAGTGGCTGGACACAAGGGTGGGCAAAAGGAAATGCGCAGAGAAGAGAGAGCACAGAAGCTGTGGGAGCAGGGGAATGGGCTTATGGGTGCTGGGCATGGGGTGGGCACGGAACCAAAGGACATGGCACAGAGGCACCGTGAGTGGGAGCACGGGCCTCAAGAGGCTGGGGACAGATGTTGTCACAAACATACAGGAGGCATGGGCAAGGAGCAGGCTGGGGACGTTGGGTACGGGGCATGGGCGTGAGCACATGCATAGGACTTGGTCACGTGTGATCCTTCCTCATAGGGTGCTGAGCATAGGGCGGGCAACAGGGGCCCGGGATACAAGATAGGCATACGTGAGTGGCAGTGAGCATGGGGCGGGCATAAAGGCAAGGCAGCAAGCGAGCATAAGGGCGCAGGGTACGGGGCGTGAGCTCTGGAAGTGAGCGCAGATGTGGGAGATGAGACAGGTGTAGGGGTGTGGACCTGGGCATCGGTCATGGGGTACAGAGTGGAGATGTGGGCTTACAGCCTGTGGGCATGGGGCAGGGCACAAGGTGGGTGCCAGGTGGGACGCCCCATCTTGGCCCAGCCCCTACAGTCTCAGCGCCCGTAGAATTGCGGGCCCACCTGCAGGATGGTCGCCCGGAGCCTGAGTACCAGATCCGACTGTGCTTCGGTGAGGAGTACCCAGGTCCCCCGGACCAGCCCCAGGAGCGGCTCGTCATGGCCCACGTGAGTCACCTCCTCGCTCCAGTGGGGAACCACACCCTTCAGTCCCCTCCTCACAGCCCCTCACCACTCCCTCTAGTCCCAGCTCCATGCCTGACCTGCTACATGACCTCTGATCTGTAATGACCCTGCATGTAAAGTCCCTGTGAGGAGGGGGCTGTCACTAGGGCTGTGACTTCCCACGAGAACACAGGGGATAGTTAAGGGAGAAAGTTGTCTCCTCGCCCCGCCTTCTGTCTCCCACAGGTGGAGCCCGTCTTTGCCAGAGAGCTCCTGCTACACTCGAGGCACCGCAGCCACAGAGCCCTGGCGGCTGGTCCCTAGCCTACATATCTGATGGCATCACTCCCTTGATGACGCAGTGGAGTCATGGAGTCAACCCTAAGCAGCCACTTCCTCCTCTCGTACCCTCTAAAGGCAGCCCCCCACATGGCATGGGCGCACCCCAGCTCTGCACAAACTGAGCCAGTGGACTTGCCCACATGGGTTGGGACGGGGGAAGCTGATCGTGGCCTTCAACCTCTGAGCCGAGGAGACGCAGCCCTGGAACGTGGTTCACAGATTGCCGGGCCGAAGCTGGGTCTGGGGCGTCAGGCGGAAACTGAACTCAATCTTGAGATTCCTGAAATAGAAATTAGGGCAGAAGAAACAAGACTTCATCTGTTGATTGAGAACCCAACATGCCTACAGTGGTTTATCTAAAGCTGACCTTACCTGTGATTATAAGCTTTGCTTAAAACCGAATTTACCAATAAGTAGATCCTCCGAGTTGTTTAGAGTGGGACCTTTGAGGGGCTCTGAGTTTCCTGATCCTTCCTCCTACCTGCCACTTGGGGCGTCTGGTGCCCCATCTCTCTCCTTTCTGGGTGTGTGTGGGCGGAGGAGATCCCCCTAACAGAGGACTTTGCCTGAACCCGGGACTTGGGATGCTAACCACTGAACCACCAGCACCAGTAGTTACTTTCTTTGGAGAAACTGAGGCAGGCCCCCAAACAGAGCCCTAAGGCAGAAGCCAAAGTGGAGACCAGGAGTCCAGCCCCTCCCCAAGCCCCTTCAAACTCTGCAAACTGTAAATTGAAGGAAATTCTTGAGGATTGGGGGCGAGCCCCTCGGCCAGGAAGACAGCTGACCCCGCCTTGTCAGTCGGTCACTGCTTTCCGCCCCAGATGTCAGACCATTTTCCCTTTTCTGGTTTCTGACTTCTTAGGGCTCCTTTTACAGATGGCAGCACAAGACATCTTTTTCAGTGATACATTAATAAGCCACTTTTAGGGGGAGAAGCTATGATTCAGGAAAGGACAGAAGTCAATCACATCACTATTTTTCTAATTCATTCAACAGATGTTGATGGGGCACCTGTTTCCAGGCCAATGCTGGACATGGGATAGAACAAAACAGCATGGTCTCTACTCTCTTAGGGTTCACGGCCTGTTTTCCAGGGGGCCCCGGTGACTGTTCTACCCCTGCCCCTCACAGGAGGCATGTTAAGGAGTTATAGAATCCTGGGTTGAAATCCTAGCTTTCTCACTCACTAGCTGTGTGACCTTAAGTAAGTCACTCAACTTCTCTGAGCCTCAGATTCCTCGTCTACACAAGGAAGCTATGGAGGCCTCTGGAGCAGGGTTGGTCTGAGGAGACAATGTGAAAAGAGGCGGATGGACCCGGTATGAAGAGTGGCACACAGGAGGGGCCCTCTGACTTGGTTACTTGTGGTTGGGAGAACATGGAGGAGGTGACCCCAACCTTCAGAAGGCCTGAGTGTCTGTCCTGGGTTTTGCTGTACCCCTAGCCATGTAAGGGAGCCTGTTGCCTCCTTACCATAGCTCATATAGATGGAGAGTCACTAGCTTCACTTTTAGCTAGGGGAAACTGAGGCTCAGCCAGAGTCAGGGACTTGTTTGAGATACCCCTTGGGAGGGGCGATATCTCTGTCCAAATATCTGTTCTCCCCACACCAGTCACTAGAGGGCGCCAGGACTCAGCAGAAGGGGTTTGGCTGGCTCTTCTCACCATCCTAGGTGTCCCATCCCACAGACAAGGCAGTGAGAGGAGGGCAGGTAACAGTGAGACCTCAAGGACCCTGCACTGTGGAGAGCAGTAGACCACAAGCCTGGGAGGAGGAGAGGAGGAAAGGGAAACTGGAAGTAGGGACTTGAGAGGCCCTGGTGGCTTTTCGCATGGAGACTCCTGGTTCTCGAGCTCTACACTTAGATTCCACCTCCCTCTCTCATCAGAGATGACCGTCTCCCTGCCCCTCCCTCTCCTGTGCCTGTACTTGCGTCTCTCTCCATATCTCCCCTTCCCCTCTGTCTCTGTAGATTTCTCTGCTTCTCTATGTTAGTGATTCTTTCTGTGCACTACATGTGTGCGTGCCTGTGTGTTTTTTCTCTCACAATGTCCCTGCCTCTGTCTCTCTCTGTGTGTTCTTGCCTTTCATGTCTCTACCTGTCTTTGTCTTTTTTTCACTATCTTTGTCTCTTTACATCTCTGCCTCTATCTTCCTCTTTCTCTCTCTTTTTTTTGCTTCTGTCTCTCTTGCCCTCAGTTTCACATCCTATCCCTCCCCAGCCACCACCGCCCAGCACATGTGGGCTGGGGGTCTCTTCCCTCCCAATTCCTCACCCCTGGCAGCCACTCAAAGCTTCCCAGTCCTGGCCTCTCCTGCCCGCCCCTCTTGGGCCTTGGAGGAGGGGGGCGAAGGAGGAAGGGAGGGCAGCCTGGTGGGCCCACCCCTTTTTGCCTTTCCAGGCTGGGAGGCTGGGCCAGTGGGCCTTTTAACCAGCCTGGGCAGGCTGTGCCGGACACCAGCCCTGGACGCCGTGCCTGGCTCCCGTGGTTCCGGCAGCCTCCAGCCCAGCCAGCCCAGCCAGCATGCAACAGCAGCCCCCATCAGGGCCCTTGGCCCCTGCAGCCGAGCCAACCAAGCCCCCCTACAGCTACATAGCCCTGATCGCCATGGCCATCCAGAGCTCCCCAGGACAGCGGGCCACACTCAGCGGCATCTACCGCTACATCATGGGCCGGTTCGCCTTCTACCGCCACAACCGGCCAGGCTGGCAGAACAGCATTCGCCACAACCTGTCACTCAATGAGTGCTTTGTCAAGGTGCCCCGGGATGACCGCAAGCCAGGCAAGGGCAGCTACTGGACACTGGACCCCGACTGCCACGACATGTTCGAGCACGGCAGTTTCCTTCGCCGACGCCGACGATTCACCCGGCGGGCAGGCGCCGAGGGCACCAAGGGCCCTGCCAAGGCACGCCGAGGACCCCTCCGAGCGACCAGCCAGGACCCAGGAGTCCCTGATACTACAACTGGCAGGCAGTGTCCATTCCTGCCAGAGCTGCCAGAGACCAAAGGCCTAAGCTTTGGGGGGTTTGTGGGGGGCTTGCCAGGCAGTATGTGCCCGGCGACCACCGATGCCAGGCCCCGGTCATCAGCAGAGCCCAAAGAGATGCCCACACCCAAGCCTGCAGGCTCAGGAGAGCTCCCTGTGGCCACTTCATCTTCTTCCTGCCCAGCGTTTGGCTTTTCTGCCAGCTTCTCTGAGGCTGAGGGTTTTAGCAAGGCCCCTACGCCCATCTTGACCCCCGAGACAGGCATTGGGAGCAGTTACCAGTGCCGGCTGCAGGCCCTGAATTTCTGCATGGGCACTGACCCAGGCCTTGAACACCTCTTGGCCTCAGCAGCCCCCTCCCCTGCAACTCCCACCCCTCCGACCTCACTGCGGGCCCCGCTGCCCCTGCCAGCTGACCCCAAGGAGCCCTGGGTTGCAGGCAGCTTCCCTGTCCAGGGAGGCTCTGGCTACCCATTGGGACTGACCCCCTGCCTATACCGGACGCCAGGAATGTTCTTCTTCGAGTGAAGCCAGCCTGGCCTCAGGCAGTCCTTGCAGGACCCCTCCCACTGCATCCTCCAGGCTGAGCCTGACTCTAGGATCTGGGGAGCTCTCCGAGGACCCAGGTCTGGCAAGCCAGCAACAACCGGGACAGGCAGCCAAGACTGGAATGGTGAACGCACAACCAGCCTCCGGGGCCTCTGGACAGACTTGGGGTGAGGGGAAGCAGAGCCCCCTTGGGATTTACTCTGTGGCTCTCAAGGCCAATAAAGCCAGTGTGATAATGAGGATCAGCTTGCTGGATGGTTGGGGGCTGAGGGCCGGGAGGCCTGGTTCTGGGGTCGGGGGGAGGGGCTGCGATTGTGGGGTCGTGTGGCAGGGGTGAGAGACCCTGGATGGAAATATCCCTCGTGAGGACTTCTCCTGCTGGGGACTTTCTCTGGGAGTTTCCCAGGAAGGCAGAGAAAGGGGGAGCGGGAAATGGGGGAGAGAGTAGAGGGGTGCCCCGTGAGAGAAACCAGGCAGGGTGTGAGGCTGGCCTGGCCTGAGCGCCTGGCTCATTCTCAAGTCCCAAACTCTGTGACTCAGCTGTCCCCATCGTGAGTGGTCAGGGTCACTGTGACCATTCGAGACATTCATTCCATCCTGGATATATATATATATGTCCTCTCACCGAACCCTGTGTGGTGTGGAATGGGTTCACCGTTGCACACTGGTGGAGTCTGAGGCTTGGACAGCTTGGTGCTCCTAGCTCTGGCTCTGGATGGCACATGAGTGGCAGAGAGAAAAACAAAACTAGGTCTGTGTACTCTGCCCCCAGCCCCAGACCTGCCGTTTGAGAGAGGACACAGAAGCGCCACACAGGGTGCAGGCAGGCAGAGCCAGTGGTGTGCGGGGAGATGGGGGCGAGAGGCAGGGATTCGAAGCCCATGATAACAAGGCCCTGCTTACGCCTTTGGAGGCTCAAAGGGCAGCACCAAGCCTCCTGTCTGGATTTCCCACACGAGTGGGGCCTCCCTGAGTCCCCAGCTCTCTGAGTTCTCCTGGTGACTCTTTAAGAAAGCATTCTCTCATGGGGGGTGGGGGACGGCTGTCCTGGGTACAGCCGAAGTGACAGAGCCCTGACCTTTGGCCTTCTGTAGCCGCCCCCTTGGGGAAGCAGGAGAAATGGGTATATTTGTGGCCCTCATCAGAGGAGCGCACTTAGGGGCCTGAAACCTCACTGTCCCCGGACCCCCTAATTCCAGAGCTGCTGAGGCTTCCTTCCAGAGCCTCAGTCCCCTATTTGGACCATGGGTATAGGGGGAGAAGAGAAGGGCCAGGGATCCTTCTCTTCTCCCCCTTTCTGGTCTTTGGTGGAGTGGTCTGGAGGGTCTTAAGTCCCATGAGGCGACACCCAGGGAGCTGGAGACCCCTTCATCGAGCAGGCAGCCCAGTCCCCTCCAGAGGCCTTTCCTGGGCAGGCGGCCACACCAATTTCAGTCTCTCAGTCTCTGCTCCTCCCTCCTCCCTCGGCATGTCCCCTGGGGCCTGGGAGGAAGCGAGCCCGGCTGGACAGCCCCAACTGTCTGGTTCCCACAGACTCCAGAGCCAGGGTGGAAGGGGAACCTGCAGGGTGGGGGCTCACTGAGGCCAGAGGGGGTGGGAAAGGGCCTGACCAGCTGTGGGGTCCCTCCCCAGCATGCCTGCTGGACCCCCGCCTAGAGTCCACTGAGTGATGGGGAGAAGGAGAGAGGGTCTGTCTTGTCACATCCGGGCAGCCTCATGGCTGAAAGGGGAGGAGAGAAAGGTCCTGGGGTCGGGGGCGGGGAATGGGCGAGCTGAGGGGAAGGAGGCTCTTGAGTGGGTTCATACCATGGTGTGTGCCTGTGTGGGGCAGTATGTCTCAGGGTGTGTGTGTGTGTGTGTGTGTGTGTGT